TAGACCAGTTGGAGACATGATTTCCAGACTGGATTATCACAATAGTTCCTTGGCCTTAAAATGTCTGAATTAAGTCTCCTCTACTGAGAATGCCCCATCTGTAGCCTTTTGATGTTTATATCTTAAAAGAGCTAAGCTAAATATATCACAAGGAATAATTAATGTGCTGAAGTTCACCTCTTTTTCTGTTTGTGAGAAGATCACAGAAGTTTTGAATTTATTCATAATTCTAAATTAGTCACAATTTTGTTTTTGCTCTTCAAATAGCTCATAAACTGTTTGTTGCAAGTATTAGAATTAGGACTGTCAAGCGATTAAAAAAATTAATCGTGATTAAAAAAATTAATCGCGATTAATCTCACTGTTAATAATAGAATACCATTTTAAATATTTTTGGATGTTTTCTACATTTTCAAATATATAGATTTCAGTTACAACACAGTATACAAAGTGTACAGTGCTCACTTTATATTTATTTTTGATTACAAATATTTGCACTGTAAAAAACAAAAGAAATAGTATTTTTCAATTCATCTAATACAAGTACTGTAGCGCAATCTCTTTACCATGAAAACTGAATTTACAAATGTAGATTTATGTACAAAAAATAACTGCACTCAAAAATAAAACATTGTCAAACTTTAGAGCCTACAAATCCACTCAATCCTACTTCTTGTTCAGCCAATCGCTCAGACAAACAAGTTTGTTTACATTTGTGGAAGATAATGCTCCCTGCTTCTTGTTCACAATGTCACCTGAAAGTGAGAACTGGCATTGTTGCAGCTGGCATTGCAAGGTATTTACATGCCAGATGCACTTAAGATTCATATGTCCCTCATGCTTCATCCACCATTCCAGAGGACGCGTGTCCATGCTGATGACAGGTTTTGCTCGACAACAGTCCAAAACAGTGCAGGCCGACGTATGTTCATTTTCATAATCCGAGTCAGATGCTACCAGCAGAAGGCTGATTTTCTTTTTTAGTGGTTCGGGTTCTGTAATTTCTGCATTGGAGTGTTGCTCTTTTAAGACTTCTGAAAGCATGCTCCACACTTCATCCTTCTTAGATTTTGGAAGGCACTTCAGATTCTTAAACGTTGGGTCGAGTGCTGTAGCTATCTTTAGAAATTTCACATTGGTACCTTCTTTGTGTTTTGTCAAAACTGCAGTGAAAGTGTTCTTAAAGTGAACAACATGCGCTGAGTTATCATCCGAGACTATTATGACATGAAATATATGGCAGAATGCAGGTAAAACAGAGCTGGAGACATACAATTCTCTTCGAAGGAGTTCAGTCACAAATTTAATTAACACATTATTTTTTTTAATGAGCATCATCAACATGGAAGCATGTCCTCTGGAATGGTGGCCAAAGCATGAAGGGGCATATGAATGTTTAGCATATCTGGCATGTAAATACCTTGGAATGCCCGCTACAAAAGTCCCATGCGAATGCCTTGTTCTGACTTTCTGGTGACATTGTAAATAAGAAATGGGCAGCATTATCTCCCGTAAATGTAAACAAACTTGTTTGTTTTAGCGATTGTCTGAACAAGAAGTAGGACTGAGTGGATTTGTAGGCTCTAAAGTTTTACATTGTTTTGTTTTTGACTGCAGTTATGTAACAAAAAAATCTACATTTGTAAGTTGCATTTTTACAATAGAGATTGCACTACACTACTTGTATGAGGTAAACTGAAAAATACTATTTCTTTTGTTTATCATTACAGTGCAAATATTTGTGATCAAAAATAATATAAAGTGAGCAGTGTACACTCTGTATTCTGTGTTGTAATTGAAATGAATATATTTGAAAATGTAGAAAAACATCCAAAATGTTTAATACATTTCAATTGGTATTCTATTGTTTAACAGTGCGATTAATACTTCGATTAATCATGATTAATTTTTTTAATCGCAATTATTTTTTTTGTTAATTGCATGAGTTAACTGTGATTAATTGACAGCCCTAATTAGAACTTTACCATTTTCACCCCACTGGTTAGTTATCCCGGTCACATTATTTCTGTTCCTGACTCAGGTAACAAAGCAGCACAGAATGAATTATAAATATTACAATAAAAATACCACTAATCAATGTTGGTGTATACTTTTGCTTAACATTAGTTTTACAGGAATAAGATCGCTAGCAGAAATCAAGAGAACATGAACAGATCAGGAACACAGAAAAATTAAAATTGATTAATCTTTGAATCTGAACACCTATTCAGGGGGAAAAATTCCAGCATTCTTTCCACTCTAATTTTGCAGCTGATTAGAGCAACAACAGTGGTCTCTCAAATAACCAAGCCCTCTGCTCTTTAGACCCAAATCAGCAGCCCCTTACAAGTACACCCTCAAGTGAATAGGAGTCCAGGGCAACTCATGAAGAACTGGTGTAATAAGCTCTCTGTAATTACCATAGCTAGGCAGGTAGCTCATCATATGTTGAATTAGATAAAGCTTGCAAGTGACCTTCACTGGTAGACCCAAGTAGGATGTTTAGGTTCTAATGAAAACAACTTAGCCATCTTAAGTACAGCATTTGCTTCCTAGTGGCTGCTACAATATAAACAGTCAGTCCAATGACTGTATCTCCCCTCTCCCCCACGCCAAGTCCATTTTTTCAAGGTTTTTCTAAATTGACAAACCAGTGGTGCATTACAGTGCTTCCTTTGAGACTTTGTATTACAAATCCTTTGGGCACCCAGCTACTGTGTGATAGAGAACACATAATAGGTTAGAGCTAATGTGTTGTCTACCTCATGAATGAAAAGAATGATCATTCAAGTGTGGAAGTCATTAAAAGGGCTTCTACACTACTGAAAGAGCAGAAAACCTCTTATTAAATGTAAGTAGGGTACATTCTATTTTTGTCTTTAAAGTTTCTTTTCTAATTTTCTATTGATTTATCTTCATTTGGGAATGGATGACATATATAAATGATTTGGCAGAATTTTTTTTTTCCTGAATACTCTGATGATGATTTTGTGGTGTGTCAGGCTTCATTGTCACTTTTCTAGGAGTAGCTATGAGAGTTTGGCATGCCAGAAATGTGGTCATGATCAAAAATTAATGGAAGTCATTAGGAGACCTTCCATTGATGTCAAAGGGCTTTGGATCAGTTCCATGCCTTTAGCCTTTAACTAGGCAAAAGTCCCAATAGATTCAATGGGAGTTTAGCCTGAGCTAGGCCTGCAGGTTTGTGGCCAGCAATGTGTTCTGATCTTCAGGCCTTTGGGGGACCAGCAAGTCAGTTATTAAATGGTAATGAAAAGTAGAGATTGACCCAAGTCACAAAGTTAGTGTTTGACAATTTATGGAATCCAGGGTTTTGATTTGGGCTCATCTCTAATTAAAAGCTGTAGATACAGACAGTTGGCAGCTGATGACTGAAGAACTATTGTGTAATTGGATCAAATTCTCTAGTCCAGCTGAACTTTTTTGGCACAGGACCATAGGGAAAATGTGGCCTAGAGCCAATTTTACATTCCCCCATTCCCAGGGCCACTGAGGACTGGGTTATTCTCTGGCATAAGACAGAGAAGCTGCGAGGCTATTCTACCTAGCACCCAGCCACCCACAGCCCTGTGAGACTATTTCACCAGCCAGGGAATCGTCTGGATGCAGATCACATACATTTTTTCCCAAGACATTCTCACTATGGGAGCGCAATACCACTTTAGAAGTCTAGAATACAAGAGGGATCTTCTATCATCCAGAGCTTGTGGGCTAACAGATGCTTTGTTTCTGGGCCACCATTTCAATGAGATCAAATAATCAAATTCTATACTTTGAAAATATTACATACTTTAGGTCTGCTTTATGAAATACCACTTACATTACATATACATTGTCCTCTATAAAACCACCACCCCGGTGCTTGCTTTCGCCATGCAGTTTATGTTGTTTTCCATTCTACATATGGGAAATACAGTAGTGATGCAGTAAGCAGCCCATTTTAGTCCCTCACTGGTTTGTGTTTTAAAGACCAGCTCTCCCCTTGTGCTTTTATCCTGGCAGCTACAATCTGTTGCGATGCTTGAGCTGACAGTCCCTTAAGGGAGTTTAGGGAAAAGCAATCTCAGTGGAAGGCCTCAACTCTGGAACTAAGTCCTTCCTTTGTTCTGACAAAGGCCATATTTGTCAACCTTCGGGTCATATTGGGTCTGTTATCTATTTTGTTCAGGACTAAAATTGAGGGAAATAAAAAAGGTGAGTGTGCGCTTCCAAGCTTCTCCTACAAAATAACCTCCACCTGAGTCAACAAAATGAATGAGATGCTGTTCCAAGTAGATCACATGAACCTCCTGAGCATGGCTCACCATTGGTGGGGCTTGAATATGCCCAGTAGACTTCTTGGGCTGGGCTCCTTCCTGACTGGTGAAAAAGTATGTGATTGTATCTCCCCACTGCTTCCCCAAATGAGCCATTGCTCAGTATGTTGTACAGTTTTGCGATCTTCCTCTCTTTTCTGATATGAGAAATGAAATATTTAACAATGTTGATATTTAGGTTGTCATCAATGAGCATCTGAGTTCATCTCACTGTGACGAATAGGGCAGTTCACACCTCCCAGCCAGCATTATTGTTCCAGGCTCTCTGACATCTCTGCATCGATTACACTCAGTTCACGTTTGGGAGGTGGGATTTCTTCATAACCATAACAGCTAGAAACTCATTCTTTGCTCCAGAATAAAAACTGAGGTTCTGGCAGACAAGATTGTAGCTCGAGGAAGGTGTTGGTGTGACATTCCACTGTGTACGGGTGGAACCAGAGCTCGGGTTTTGCCTCAAAGAGGGAGTGGTTTAAGGGTTCAGTTGTGGATTGTCACTGAGTTGACTTTTTTTTGGTATGTGTTTTTAAGATTGAGTTGTTATGGGTACCTGGAGCTTTTGCCTAAGCAAATCAAATTAAGTGACAATGGCTTCCACCACATAGTGTGGGGAGAGAGACAGATTTTTGTTTGGACTGATTCCATTGTTTTTAACCTCAATAGGATAAAGAAGTAAATCTGGAGCAGGTCCACAGACGTATGAACAGTTTAATTGATGAAGACATAGCCCACAAGCAAATCTCTCCAGCGTCGATTGAAATCTCAGCCTTGGAGATTGGTGGCATGCAGCCAAGTCAGACCCTGGAGCCAGTACGCGAATACCAGAACACACAACTTTCTGTCACCACCTTTTTACCAGAACAGACAAGTCATGGTGCCAGCAGGACACTCACAACTGCCTCTGGTAGTAACCTGCCATTGCCCCTTAGCAGCTCAGCCACCATGCCCTCTATACAGTGTAAACACAGATCGCCAAATGGAGGACTGTTTCGTCAGAGCCCCGTGAAAACACCTATCCCGATGTCATTTCAGTCTGTGCCAGGGGGAGTCATTCCAGAAGCCATGGAGCCTTCCCATGGAACATCCATATAATGAAAACAAACAAAAAAACAACCAGCAGAGCTTTTTAATACAATCTGAAACAAAAACAAAAACTTTTACATTTTTCGTGTACATATCTGTAAATAATGAAAGAATGAAGTGGGGTAAAAGTGTATTTTGAATATTCCCAATTTTCGAAGTCAGTAAAAAACAAAACAAAAACAAAAAACAAAAACAAAAAAAATGTATGAATGACTTTGTAAATTTTGTTCTATATGAATAAAAAGGCAAACTACTTGTGATCGTTCTCAAGTGCCAAAGAAGACCTGTTACTGGGACTGAGGGCAGTTAAACAAAAAATCATGGATTTCAACCCTTATTCCTTATTTGTTCTATTTTTGTTTTACTATTTTTGTTTTAAAGCAGTAAAGTTATCCATTTGTCGCTGTAAAAGTTTACTCTCCTCAGCACTCTCTTCTTCTCAGTACCCTATTTCATAGTCATGGTGGCAGTTGGCTTGAAAATCTAACAGCAGATATTAGCAAAGCAGTAATATATGTTTTAAACTTGAATTATAACTATAAACAAGCAAACAATAAACAAAACAACTGAACTCTTTCCTTCTAACAGGGATTAAATTTCCACACAGTTTCTAAGTTGAAGCACAGGTTTACTGAATTGTGTTTTATGTGCGTACTGTGCTCTGTGGCTTTTTTAATTTAACCTTATGTGTTTGTTATATATATAATATATACATATGATTTATGTATATATTATATATATATATAAAATATTTTATAAATAAGGTTATGGATAAGGCTATTAAGCAAAACCTGCCATCAGCTCTTTCTTGTTTCTTGTGTGCACAAATTAAAGTGGAATGGAACCAATGACTTAAAGGAATAAAACAAGGCAAAGCTTTATTTGATAGTGAGGCAATGATCATGTTACAGTGACTATAGCCCTATGGTATGATTTCTTTCTTTTATGTTTCAAGGACTACTGTATAATAGAGGCAGCATTCTCTGTTAAAGTCATATCTCTGAATGAGGCTAAATTCACGACTATAAGCACAGCTTCTGTTTTTTTCCATTGATTTTTTTTAAAGAAGCATTTAATGGTTATGTCCATAATCGGCTATCAAATGCCTCATTTTTTTTTTTTTTTGCTGTGAAACTCAATCAACGGAAAAAGATGGAGTAACACATATAGCTAGCTTAAGGTCTTGTCTGAGAACATTACCAGTTCAGTTTAACATGAAAATTTCAAAACCATTGTTTCCTTCCCAAATAGTGACTCAAATGCTCAGGTAACTAACTAGGAGGTTTTTTCCTTCCTTTCTGATATTCCTGGGCAAACATTGGCTTTCAGAATTTGAATAATTTCATAACCTCTCAAACGTGTCACAATAGCAAGGTTGCTATTTCCATTTATAGCTGGATTTGTTTACTTTATTAGAACATGATCATTTGGAAAATGCAATATCAGTGGGTGCAGCAAAAATCACTGCCTACATTAAGGACAAAAAAAAAATGACTGAACAAAAGTAAAAATGCATACATATCTACAAAAGGAAGCAGACAATGTGGGTTATGCTTTTGGAGAAATAAAAGGTTCAATTTATTGTCTGGTATACTGGCTTGAATAGTTACTCAACTAGTTATGGGGTGATAACTTTCCAAGAATTGTTTTCTTTAGGAGAGCCCTGCATTAAATGATTAAGCAGAGGAGAAACACTAAAACTGAATCAAACAGTGATAGAAAAACTACCCATGGGAAAAAGTGTACTTACAACTCTACTTTTTACCTAAGGAACGTTGACAATTTGCTAATAGAAGTATTCCAGTGGTGATTAATTCCAGCATCTCCAGTCAAGCTGGTTCCTGATGTAGACAATAACATTCTGCAATCTGGCCAAGTTGTACTTCCTGCTTCAAACTAATTAAAAATAAACAATAATAATGTTTGTCACTGGATTTTCACCAGTGATAAATTTGGTCCATTTAGATTGCACACCAGAGCACCCCAAAAATTATTTTCCTCAATATTTGTAACAAGTTATGAACATTTGCAGCCAAATTTAATATTTTTTACTGAAATTATTGTTCATCTGCCATGTGTACAATGTTTTTAAGATTGGTCATGCTGGAATGCTGTGCATATGTATATATGATTTAACAAGAGAAAAGCATTGAAGCATCTGTTTTGAAAGTGTCCCTCACTGTCCTCTCTTCCCTAATTCACATTAAAGCCCAGATCTTCAGCGGCTTCTGAGGACCAACGTATCAGCTGCCTGTCGGGACACCCCAGCCATGACCACTCTCCCCCTGGCCAGGCCTCCAAGTATTAGGGGTGATGTAGGAGCCTACTATGCTTCATGGCACAAGAGGATCCCCCACTATGATCTTCCCTTATCTGGCTATAAGAGGCTTTAGAATCATGTTGAACTGGTGCTGCAGTATCATAGTGCAACCATAATGCATCTGTGGATATGGGCCAAAACGTGGACCTGAGTCAGTGCTATTAGCAAACAAGAACAGAAGAATCTTTCTAATCTGCATCCCTTATACACACAAAAAAGGCAATACTCACTTCTTTACAGTAAAGATCACAGTGAAATTTCATTTTACTGAGACTTCATTACTTTCTGAAAACAAATTATGTAACTTTTATTAGTATGTTTTAAAGCATCATCATAAACAGTTTAAATTAAACTACATTTATGAAATGAATGAACAAAGTACATTTTGGGCTCCATTAGCTTTAATATTTTTTATTATGTGTTTGCTTTCTTTGGGCTTGGTCCTGCAAGGTGCTACAAATCACTTAAGTGTGTGCTTAACTTTGTGCATGTGAGTAGTCCCATTAATGTCAATGGGATTACTCAAGGCTTAAAGTTAAATACTTGCTTAAGTGCTTGGCAGGATCGCATACAGAGTACAGGATCAAGCCCATGATGATCCTTATTTAGCAAGTACTTAAATGTGTGCTTAATTTTACGCATGTGCTTTGGTGTCATTGAAGCTGATGCTTTAGTGACACACTTAAGTGCTTTGCTGATTAAAGATGGGTTTAAGCACATGCTGAACGTGAAGCACATGCCCAACATTGCTATTGACTTCAATGGGACTAGTCTCTGCTTAATGTTAAGCGTGTGCTTTGTTGCATCAAGGGCTAGACTGTGAAATTAGCAGTTCACAATGAGTCTCCCACTCTTTAGAAAAGATTAGTTTATTAAAAACTTAGATAGTTATATCCTGAACCTATCAATCATGACAGAAGCCTTTTAGATCTCTCATGTGTCGATGCTTCAGTTTCAGGTTATTTAAATAAATCAAGAGGTACTCTCGGGAGAATAAAACAATATTTCTTTCCCAATACATTTCAATTTTCAAAGTAAATTCAGAATGTATTACTTCCATGTTGCTGTCTTCTGTTTTAGATTTCTATTTTAATGTTGCCTGTTCAAAGCATTTTTATACATGTTGACTTTGTATGCATACACCATAAACTCATGCATTTATATGCACTCAGAGAGAGTTATTCATAGATGAATTAAAGTATAAGTGAAGATTTCAGGCCAGATCCTCAACTGGTGTAAATCAGTGAAGTAATGGCGGTATGCCTAGCTATACCAGCAGTGGATCTAGCCCTTCATTTTAAATATTTTGCAGACATGAAGAGGGAACAAGTTGCATAAGTTTCTGTAAACTATGAGGGCCATATTGTGCCCTTAGTTTTAAACAGAACTCCCCAAGGAGTGTACCAGAGTGTAATGGTTCTGCTTAAAAATGGGGATAATCTAGGGGCCCAAGTGTTCCAGGTTCTCCAAGATGTTTACATTGCAAAGCTGGTTGTAAGTGAAATTGAGTGCCTATACCTTCTTTGATTGTGCTCTTTTATTGATGAATTTCTGGTAATGTGACATCTGTGGCACAGCACTTGTAGTGTTTCTCGTTCTGTTAATCCATTAGTTTAGAAACAATACTTTATTTTCATACAAAACGGTGACTCAGTTTCTTAGATTTGCTTGCAGTCCACTAGCTCTGGAGAATGCATTGCTGTTATTTCTGAATAATGTGTCATGTTTTCCTGTCGCAACGAAACAATATTAATTGTGCTTTTTGATTTCAGAGTTAAAACTTGATAGGACCTTTTTAATGCTGAGTTATAATTACTTGTGTGCAATATTTGTCTTGCAAAGTGAAATTCCCAACATTCTGCCTTGCTTTTATAACCTGGCATTACTGCACTGTTTGTGAAGCCTAAGCAGAGCAAGAATAACCCACCTTCGCTTAGTCTGCTGGTAGAATAAAATACTCAGGACATGATCCTCAACTGGTATAAATCAGCATAGCTCCATTGATTACATTAGACCCAGGCTGATTTAAACTAGTAGAAGATCAAAGCAGGTTAGCTCAAAGTGCACTATGGAACTTTTAGTGAGCAGCAGCAGAGGCTTAGTGTGAAGTAGGGATTGCCCCAACCCAGGCTTGCCACAAGCTCAGTGGTCATATAGACAAGCCCTTAATGTTGAGCTTGAAAGCACTGCTTCTTATAAATCTGTATTCACTGCTGGCTCTGAAAAGAAAATGTGATAAGTAAGTGCTAATAATGAAATTCAGAAGGCAACTTTGTTGGCCAATTAACAGGGATTTTAGTTATAGCTGCTGTATGAACTAGTTTAAGCACAAATTTCTTCTCAAAGCCTGTTCAAAATTAGGTGCACCTCCACTCTGACAGAGGTTAGAAGTTGGTGACATAATAACAAATGGAACTTTTCTTTTAAAGGAGACTACATTCCCGGGGCAGTATAGTAACTACAATGTTCAGACCATATTTTATTCCTTTCACTGACCTGAATTTATGTTGTGAATGGCTAAAGGAAGAGCTAGGTCTACACATAACACATTTGAGGACTCTGTTGGAAATTTCCCAAAGAATCTATATCCTTTTGAACCAATGGGAAAAGGCAAGGGGAACTATAAAAGAAAAAGCTATGAAGAAAAGCAAAATATTAGGTTATAATGAATGGGGGGAGGGGTACAATGCATCTATTTGATATGTCCAGCAGAACTATTATTATAATACTGTATCAGA